ATAATGTATATAAATGATATCTGCAAAGTTTTTAAAAAACTAAACTGCATTATGTTTGCTGATGATACGAGCTTGTACTGTTCTGGGCAAGATCTTGGACAGCTCCTAGAAACTGTAGAGTCGGAACTTTCCCAACTAAAAGAATGGTTTGATGATAATAAGCTGTCAATCAATTTGAATAAAACTAAGTATATGATTTTTGGAAATAAGAAAATCAACACTCAATGTCACATAAAAATTGGCGATAGGGAAATAGAAAGAGTACACACAACAAAGTTTTTAGGAATTCATATCGATGAGAAAATTAATTAGAAGCTACACATAAATGTAATGAAAACAAAGTTGTCAAAAATTATAGCAATGTTGCACAAAGTAAAATACTCTGTAAACCAAAATGCACTTAAAATGTTGTACAACTCTTTCATACTTCCATATCTCAATTACTGTGTCGAAATATGGGGAAACAATTTCAAATCCAACATCCAATCAGTTGTTTTGCTCCAAAAGAAGGCTGTCAGAATAGTTAATTATGCAGATTTTTATGCTCCTACAAACGCCCTCTTCATCAAATTAAAAACATTAAAATTTCATGACCTTGTTGACCTAAACACTACGATTTTCATGTACAAAGCCCATAACCACCTGCTCCCTCAGGCATACAGGAGAGGTTCAAACCTAGAGAGAGTCCTTATGAATTAAGAGGTGTGTATGTCTTTAAGAAACCAAATGTGAGAACCAGTTTAAAAAGTAGATGCATCTCTGTCAGGGGGGTTCATCTTTGGAATGGCCTGGATGAGCCACTCAAATGTTCCACCTCCAATTGTATAGATTGTTGAGAAAAGTATATACTATATTATATACGTAAAAGGAAGAAAATTATATACGTAAAATAAAAAATTAAAATAATAAATAATAAAAAAAAAATATATATATATAAATATATATATATATATGTCATACTCTGTGTTTATGTAAATATATAATGTGATTACAAGGAATATTTCTTTGAATTAGTACGAACTATTTATTTTCTTACAATGAAAATTGTATCTGGAAATACTGTAAGCTCTGTGGATCCGCTACATTGTATATAATTTTGTTACATTTGTATAAGTAAGAAATGTAATTTTGTTATTTGTTAATAGGGTTAGGCGAAATAAGTGTTAAACTTCAGCCTAACCCTTTCGGTCAGTATATAATTTATAATTTGTGAATGTCAAATGTTTTCTTATTTTCTGCTGATGGCCGAAGAATAAACTAATATATATAAAGTCTTATAAATTGTTTCATAAATAATGTGTCACTATTAAAGTCCATCAGGAGTGTATTGACGGCCTGTCCAGGAAACTAGCTCCATGTGCACTTAGCTCAGCGTGCCGCGTCTGCTGAGCTTTGCAAGTCAGATGTGTGCGTGTGTATGTACGTGCACATTCTGTGAGTGAAAGACGCTGAACACTGAGACTGCTGATTTGTGAAACAAATGAAATGGCACTGCGAACGGCCCAGGAATTTAAAGGGAATAAGTGACATCTGTTTATGTTTCTCCACTGTTTCAAACTCAAATCATTTACTTATGGTATAACAGTCCTTCAAAAAAGCATCATGACAGAATGAACCACAAAAGAGACCTGTTTGTTAAGAATATTAACATTATTAACTTTTATGTCTATTTTAAGATGAATTAAGGCAATTTCTCATATTTAAGATACATGCAGCTGTAAAAGGCAACGTTTTATTGCTTGACTCTTTGAACAAACTCTTGTTGTGTACATAATTTAGATACAGTCTAAATCATGAATAAATAAAATTTATAATTCCCTTTTTGAGATTTTTGTTTTTTTTTGTTTTAAGTTACGTCCCATGTCACACAATGTTTGCCAGTTTCCCTCTTTGGGTGTTTTGCCGCAAAACTAAACCCAATCAATTAAAACTTAAATCCACAATATATGTTCATAGATGTATAAAACCATAATCACAGTCATATCAAAGAGATCAGGTTTAGTGTTAGTATAAGCTGGCACCTCAAAGTAAGGTGCCAGCAAAGTTTTACTCCACCACACCAAATGCCCCCTCAGCCGCCTCCTTATCAAACGCTTCACTATTCACATTAAAACAACGCGGGTTTATTTCCCCTGAAAGTGTTACCCAGCAGACCCGCAATGCAGCTCTCACTTCTCTTCTTTAATTACGCGACGCAAGCCTCTGAGTCTGACGCCAAGTCGCAGCACCGCGTTATTATCTGCTGCTGCTGCTGCTGCCGCCTGCTTCTCCAATGTGCTGAGCGGGGCACCCTGACAGCAGCACTACCTGACCAGTGCGCGCATGCGTGTGTGCCTGTGTGTGCGCGCGCGTGTGTGTGTGTGTGTGTGTGTGTGTGAGAGGCTACGATGATGACTATTGGCTTGCATTGCGCCGGTCACCATTACTCACTGTCTCTTGGTTGTCAGTTCTCTCCCACTTGCCCGCGATATACCTCCCTTTTCTGTTCAAATGGAGCGGATATCAGACCCGGTCTAGAACGGCAGGGCTCAAACGCAAACGCTGCCAAGGTAATGCTATTTATTTGTGTTTGTTTCATTTCTTCAGCCCTGTTAGATTCCACCCTCTTCCTCTTTAGATGCTAGCTCTATGTGTGGAACTTGATTTCCTTTTTCTGTTCTGGTTGTTAGAAACTAGTTTGTAGCGCTAGTCCCTAGGCTCTGTTTGCAGTGTTGTGCTTTCAGCCCTGGTTTGACTCCCCCCCCCCCCCCCCCCCCCCATCCTCCCCCCACTCTCCCCCAGCACCGATGATGACAGAGCCTAGAGGCTAAATCACCTGCCGCCAGCGGACGTTTACATGGCTGTTGCTTTGTTTGTCTGAAGAAAATGTCTATGATCTTTATACTAATGATTTATTTAAGAGCTCAGCATGAATTGCAACTTTTTTTTTCTGTAGCCAATCAAAACAATAACTTAAAGCTGGGGTATGTAACTTCAATAATATTGTTTGTCCCAACGGAAAGTCTTGAAAAAGTAAAATGTTGTCCATAAATTAGACCAAAACATGCTGCTGAGTTTATTAGAAAGGCTGTTATCATTTTGCTTACTCGTAGAAAGAGTCCAGTGAGTCCCTGTTTGACTCTTTGGGTTGAGAAGTGAAAGATTTGTTCCAGAGTGAGGGTGGTCCTCTCTTTATTACTTCTCTGTCCGAAAAAGCTGATCTAAAAAATGGGACAGAGGCCAAAAATAAGAGCTATGAACAATTTGCCAGTACATTGATTGTATTACCTAGTTTGATTTGTGGTTTGAAAGTTAGGTACCCCAGCTTTAATACTACAATAATACATCCAAATGCTCTCATCCTCCAATCCAAAGCAACTTGATTATTTAACCACTGTGAAAATAATGGCCTGCTTTCATCTGCCCAAGTGCGGGCTGATGGAAACTGGTCTAATAAAAATCCTCCATTAAGTCCTTTATAGCAATCCCACTAATTCACCAGTCATACAAATGTATTCACAATTACCCTTGAATATTATGTATTTAATCGTAATCTCAATCATTGGTTGTTAGACAGTGAACCCTGAAAGTGAATTTACCTATGAAATTGAGTACGGATCTTTTCAGTCACCAATTAACACCATAGTAAATTAATTGCTTTTTATGGTCGCCTTCAATTATTTTGGTCATTTGTTTTTTATGCTATTGATAAATTAATTCTACTTTTTTTTTGACCACTCGGATATTATAAATCTGTCCAAACTTGACCAGGCCTTGACCCTCTCAACCAGCTAGTCCATCCTGCTCCCCCTCGTATGTGTCCCAGTGGATGATTGTCTGTTTGATGAAGAACGCCAGGACAAAGCGCCACATTGAGGAAAGAGTCGTGGTTTCTACAGTAGAGCTGGACAGAGGAGCCTTTGTGGTCTGGCTGCAGATGACCCCTCACGTGTCCTTCTTTGGCTCCACCAAACAGCGCAACATTGTCAATCTAATGGAGAATCTTCATGTCAGTGCTATATAGATAAAACTATTACCGGAGCTTATGTTTAGGGTCGCTGGCACCAAAACAAATGATTGCACACAAGGCATGGTGATTCTTAAGTGAGGAGGGTTGAGGATATCCTTTATATTCTCTGGAAGCTGGGGTACTTAATTTTGTTATCTGAGTAGTTCATAAAGCAAGGCTCTATCGTCTAAACTGTCACTTGCTCTTCATATTTTAATTTCTAAACTGGGGGATTGTAGATTAATATATATTCACTCTTTAATATTCACTTGGAACTATTGCACACACATCGACTAAGCTTTCAAATAGTGCCTGGTTAGAACTTATTCAGCAAGCGGCTCTCTTAGCACAAAGATGAGATCAACATGCTTTAAACTCCCCCCTGCCCTCCCCACTTTTCACCAAGTGTCCTTACATAACCTTCGAGCATTGTCTCATAATCTGATATTTGATATGCATTCAGCCGCTGGTTTGCTCACTCTATTATCCTGTCTGTCATTATCCCCCTCTCTATTTAAATGAGAAACTTTTTTTGAAACATGCCCAAAAATATTATTATTTCACATTTCTCAACTTGGCAAATCAGTGTAACTCTATTTGAGACATCAATCTTCAATTCTGTCTCTCTCTTTCCAATAAATGTCAAAATTGATCTGATCCCTAACCACAAAAACTTACTGGCATCCGTATACTGCCCGAATCAACAGCCTTCTGAGTGCCTTTCTGTAGCCATAGCTCTGCTCTTGCTTGTCCTGATGACAAACATTCAAGACGGCTTCAAAACAAGGACAAGGAAGAGCCGAAATCCTGATGGTGGATCTGTTTTGTTTTTCTTTGTGCTGTCACGTGTTTCCAAGCCCCTACAAATCAATGCCCCACGGCGCATTTGATTGGGCCGTTTCACCACACTGCCTCCTCCTTAGTGCAAATTATAGTATCCTTCCGTATAGATTACCATTCGACAATGATGTCTTATTTTTCTAACTATTAGCTTTGTCCTTGCCGCCCACAGCCATCCACCACCTGAAGCTGAGCCGCACCCACGTGGACTGGCACAGCGTGGAAGAAGTCTACCTCTACAGCGACGCAACCACCTCCAAGATTGCGCGAACGGTCACGCAAAAACTGGGCTTCTCCAAAGGTTTGTGGCCAGAGCCTGTGACAAAATGCAATGTTTTTGTTTTGTTTGGATTGTTTTGCCTATTTCGAATTTCTAAGTCCATGTAACCGGTAGATGCGTTAAAGTGATAGTCTGGAACTCTAAATGAATTACAAATTTTAAGAATTGTATTAAATTGACCTCCTGGCCTTAAATCTTTATATAAAATAAGTCATTTTATTAATTCTAATATTACGGGTATGTCCCGCCTTCCCTTCTCTTAGCTATAGCTCAGAATCCACAATGTCGTCCACGTTAACCAATCAAGTGATGCTAAGGGCTGTCAATCATCGCTCTGATGCTCATAGCTGCTCATGCTCAGTTGTTTGTTTTCGCGGAGCCTCCGAATCAAGCCTCCATTAGGCTCTGAAACTACATGAAAACTGAACAAATAATTCTGAACATCTGCGCTGAGTTACCCATTTATATACTGAACCTATATCCATGATCAGATCCTCTGCAGATGTGTCCTATAATGTGCAATTCATGATAATAGCTTGTTCTGGGTTTGCCGCGATCGTTTTTTGTGTGCATTAAAACATTATTTTTTTCATGAAAACGTTAACAAATAATTCTGAAAACCTCCGTGCATGTGTATTAATAATGTACATGTATAATATGTTCTCTGATTAACATTTCAAAGTGTTACGGAAACGTAGGTGTAGACCAATCAGAATGGAAGGGGGAGGGAGCTTGCGTCGTTTTTTTCAAATCATGTACCTCTCTGTCTCTCTTTCTGACAAACTCCAGACAATCACAATAATAGTTACGATTGCAACATTGCAAACTGACTGGTACTTGACTGATAAGATAAGAGATCCGAATTTGACATTTTCATTTCAAAAGTCTATAACTTAAAAGTGATAAGAGATAAAGACTTCCTGTAAATTAGAAAAATATTAAGGATGGCCAAAAGTTTATGTAGGGAATTAAGCGTACCCATCTAATTGGCATATGACGATGTCATACGGCGTTGGAAATTGTGGATTTTAGAATTTTCATAAAACATCGTATTTTTTTAACTGACAGACATACACTACCGTTCAAAAGTTTGGGGTCACCCAAGTGTTTTGAAAAGTCACACTTATTCACCACCAAACGTTGTTAAATGAATAGAAAATAGAGTCAAGACATTGACAAGGTTAGAAATAATGATTTGTATTTTAAATAAGATTTGTTTTACATCAAACTTTGCTTTTGTCAAAGAATCCTCCATTTTAGCAATTACAACATTGCACCAAAAACCAGACATTTGCAGCTAGAATAGTCATTTACCACGTAAGCAATGTATAGTGTATTTCTTTACAGTTAAGACTAGTTTAAAGTTATCTACAGCTTTTCCTTCAAAAATAAGGACATTTCAATGTGACCACAAACTTTTGAACGGTAGTGTATATATCACTTGGACATGAACACAAAAAAGAACATTTAGCACTGTAACATGCTAAATGTTCAGGGAAGTAGTAAAAAAATGCAAATCATGACTGCCCCATACTGCTGTGAGCACTCTGCCCAGGCGCGCGCCTCCAGGTGAAGCGCGCACCTGGGTCTCTCACTCTCTCACTCTCTCACTCTCTCACTCTCTCACTCTCTCACTCTCTTACTCTCTTATTCTCTAACTCTCTCACTCTCCCTCCCTCTCTCTCGTCTAACCAACACCAGACAATGGCTTCTCCAACACGTTACTGGCCCGGTGATGGCGGGAGGCACGATAAAAACATCTGTGGGTAGCACTATTTGCGGAGATTTTAGCGGAGACTGTAGCAGAGGCTGGAGTCGCGGCCCGGTGCCCCGTCGCCACTTCCAGGCTTGTCCTCCGCAAATCTAACCTGTCTCCGGACCTCCCAATGACTGCCCTGACCCTGAGAAACACTGTTTCCACTGACTCTGTGCAAAGTGTCTTAAGTTAGTGTTTGGTAACACTCGCACGCTGCCCTCGCAGCTGCATTAGCTTTGCTATGTTTTCCGCTCTGATTCAACGCGGTCTTGCTCGAATATTTTGAATGGGAGCATGATGTTTTTTGGGGCCAGGGAGGTAGTCTGACATGTCTGCCAACAAGTAGCAAGGAGTATGAATGAATTTTGACACTGTTTGACACTCGGCCGTTTTAAACAGTACCGCAGCTTGTCGACTTAAGTCGACCGTGGCGCCTAGAGGGTTAATAACGAAACGCAATGTGTGGCGGTCGGTCTCGAATCTGTGGCGGTGCACCTATGTGTGGGAAACACTGGGTATGTCTGCTCGCCCCATCTACCACAGGCATGGGGACATTTGTGGTCGAATCGTTAGATATAAGCATGCAGCTGATAATTTATGAACTAAAATCAAAGCTTGAGATTTCTGCCTTCCCAAATTAGTGGAATTTTGAAGGGAGTAGATTCTGAAGCTTTTCCAAGTTACAACTAAGTACTGTAGATGGCGTAGGTCTTTTAGAGCAAATCAGTTTCAAAATGATTTTTCATCATATAAATCTGGTTCATATGATACTCATATGATACAGCATGTCAGTTGAAGTATTAGCAGCAGAGTTTGTCCAAGGAGCTTGGAGAGGCTCCAGGCCTCCACTTCCCCTAATAGATTAAGTGTATGAGATACACTCATGGATGATGGAGAAGGTGGCCACATCGGCGTAATTATAATCACATCAGTTCAGGAGATGATCCGCCTGAATACTACAATAACATGAGCTAGTCACGACTTCTATCACATGTGACCACTATGTTATTACATCATTCATGATTAGGACACAGTGAGATAACAAAAACGTTTATTTTGTTGCTACGTTTGTCTTTAATGGATTTCTTTACATATCATAAGTCACAATTTAAATGAGTGATAGTGAAGTTTTACTAATGTAACTTATCTCAGTTTAGATGGTACAATTGTTTACGAATATGGCTGAATTGAATAATGTATATATGTGTTTAATGTAAATCTTGGCATGCTGTAAACTTACGTTTTGATTGTCCTGGTGAATCAAGATCACACTAAAATGCACTTTATACACAAAAAGACTTGTTCCTCCACAGTCTCTACCCTAGCTGCTAACAGATTGAGAATCTTCTGCTTCTTGAAGAGTCCCATCATTCGCACTGCGCAGCAAAAGCCTGCATGTCCTCAGTGATGGCCCGAGATTTAATCTGTGCTGTCTGGCAGTGGATCTCTCAATCTCCTGACACACAAACGCTCTGCAGGCTAAATCCCTTTAGTGCTGTTCTGACTGAGGCCAGTGCCATTCGCTCCAGTCACACGGCCATGTCCTAAAAGCTCTAGGTCTGTCACCAGAACACTTTTTAATGCACTATAATTATCTGCTTCAAACTGATGAAACTATTATTCAATTCAATTCACTGTATTCTTGTATAGCCCTAAATCATAATCACAGTAGTTATCTCGGAGGACTTTATACAACCATTGAATTCACCCACACCGATCAGAGAATCAAGCCATTCAAAGAAATAGAGAAAACATTGGTATTGGTCCATAAGAGGCAGATGACCAAAGTCCATAAGTGTTGATAAATGATGTACTACTGTTCCGCTAAGACAGTTACGGCTAAAGCAGAGGTTTGCTTTGTAGTTGCACAATGTCATAGAAAAGGCAAGAGCTGCACAAACTAATTTGCCACAGTAGTTAGTTATTCCTTCCTCTGCAGCTCAAATCGTATCTTGTTACAATCCATATATCTTAACATCAACAAAAAATACAGTCAATAAATAACACAAAGACATAAGTTCCAGTTCTTTTTTAAAAGTGGGGTGCATGATTTCTGAGACAAATGTATTATTTTTGATTCAAACTGTGTTGCAGCTTTGCTTTAATTGATTATACAGTCGTATGAATGAACTACCGATTGAGCTGATAAAGAGACAGAGAACTATATTTTCAGTACGTTATATAAACAAAGCAGTAAATAAAATGAAAGGTGATGGCAGATGAAGTTGGCATTGTAGATGATCACTGCACAGTGTTTGGTCTTTAGTCTCAAAAAACTACTGGTCTTCATATATCTCTCTCCTCTCTCCATGCTCCGGATGTGGTGTTCCTGAACGAATGAACTATGTCACGTTGTGTCCACAGACCTGGAATATGAATGTGATAATTCCACAGATTGATATAAACTGGAAAATGAACTGTAAATGCAGTGATAGAGAAAACAGATGATGCTCCCTCTTCTGAATCCTCATCTAAGCCTTAGAGACTGAGGTTAATGTTCCAGAACGGCATGCAATTTTCACTCGTAACGAAGTACAACACTGTAGAGGTTGTTTAAACATTTGTAATGATTGTCAATAGACTTTCTACACTTTTAATCGTTTTAACCTTAGCCCAGAGGAAGAAGCTTTCATACATCACCACCATGTAAAACAGATGTAAAAGTTGTCTAATCAATAATTTTTATTAATTCATTAGAATACAGAATTTACTTTTGTAATAGAATGATGAGCTTGACTTGAAATTGTTTTTAAAGGAAACATTCTATGAAGCCAAAACCCGACTAAGAGGGATCCTGAATGCCTGTATTCAAATGTATTGTTTTCTGTTACATGGTTCAGAGTATTCTGAATATTAGGGGAAACACATCTTATTGTTCTTTGTTCTCAATCTAAATTCTCATTACAGTTACTCAAAATGTAATCTTCTGAATATTGAATTTGCATAATATTCTGAATCTTACTGTATATACCGTACATCAGGGGTCTCTAACCTTTTTCACCTGGAGAGCAACTTTCACAGAACCAAAATGGCTGAGAGCTACTTCTTTAAGCGGCCGGGGGGATTGAGTCAATGTAATGGTGAGATCTCGCCTTAAATGAGGTTCTGTCATTATTAACCATCATTTTTATATAATTTATTACAAGTATAGTTAGTATGCATTTACAGTAGTGGGGGGATGTGAATTATATCCTTTTAATGTTCTATATAAATATTTTAATGATAGCAACTGGTAGCTCCTGCTACAGGTTGGATACCCTTACTGTACATACTCAAATATTATTGTGTAAACTAGAATCATGAAAAAACCTGCTTTTTAAAACACTGCAGTAGAAGAATGCTTGAGTCCAGGTTGAAGCTGTGTGTTTGCGTTGCAGCCTCCAGCAGCGGCACGCGGCTGCACCGGGGCTTCGTGGAGGACTCTTCCCCGGAGGACCGGCCGCCTCAGACCACGCATATCGTGTTTGTGGTGCATGGCATCGGTCAGAAGATGGACCAGGGACGCATCATCAAGAACACTGCGATGTGAGTGAGCCGTCATCCCAGTTGTAGGGAAAAAAAGGTCCGAGGCACAACTGACTTTAAAATTATTTTATTTTATCATTTTTACTTTAAAGTCCCTTGTGCCTCTGACCTTTTTTTCTCCTTCAGCATTGTGCTTTTTGCATCTTGGATCCTGATGAGCACCTTATTCGTTTACCCAACCCACAGCAGTGCTCACTCTCCCTCTTACCTAAACCATCAAAGTTGTTTTGGATGGCACAATATTCACACAAGAGGCAATCCAAACACATTATATACACACATGTAAAGCAGTCATGATAAAAATTTACACAATCATTATATTCATTAAAAAAGGATCACTGTAAAATATGAGTTTGACTTGTCGACTAACCAAAACTATCTGATCTACCCCAAAAGCTTTATAGGCTAAGGTGTGTTGGGTTGTGTAAACTACAAGAAGACATCCAGATTTAGCTCTCCTGAGCTGTACCTGGCTGAGTGAGGGAAGAGTGTGTAAACATATGCTGCGTCATCACTGCTCCACACTCCGCTCTTGGGGACAATGGCCCAAACAGGCCACACACACAAAGCTTAGCTGCAGCTCAGCACACGCAGACGGGCCAAGCTGCTGCCCGCTGCTGCCCCACAGATTAGTGACAGATCAACCACCACAGAGCATGCCTTTGCTTTGGCTTTGGCAGCTGAAAGACGATCAGCTTGGAATACTACAGAATGAATGTGGTGCTGGATTGAAGCTAGAACATAGAGGTTTTCAATGTGCATTTTTAACTGCACAATATGCTATCAAAACACAGAAATAGAAAATGTTGATATTTTTAAAAACATTATTGAGTTCAATTTGGGAATTGGAAAGAGATGAATCTGGCACAGGTCTGTTTAAATAACTCAATAACTATCTCACAATATTTTCTTTCCGTTTCTGGTCTCTTGATATAACAGACAGATACATGTAGGATACAATAAACGTTAATTTCATTTACACATAAAATGTCTTAACAGTTAGAAAAAGATACCTTAGAATCAGTTGATAGACAATTCATATATTTATGTATATACTGCTCTAGCACAAAATGTTACCTTGAAAACAAAGGGACTGTGTCTAAATGCTGTAGTTGTGCAAAGCTCTCGCTCTGCATCCTGTCCTAAAAGCTCCTCTCCCGTCCCCCTCCTGTCTGTCCCAGGACAGCACAGCGCTCTCTTTGTGTGCTTCACATATATTACAAACTGCAGCACTGCAGCTAATGGAGCTTGTGCTGCATGGCTGGAGCTGCTGCATCACTGAGCATCACTCCACCTCCGACAGCTCATCTGAGGGACAGCCTGTGCCAAAACTCCATCAAGCAAACAATCTACTGCTCTGGTGACTGTGTGTTCCCTTCAGAGGACACACACTATGCCAAGGAGACGTTTTTGACCTTAGAACCTTGGTTTCTATTGGAGTTGTATGTTACTTCAGCAGGACTAATTGTATATGATCTTGACTATTTTACTACTATTAGAGCAGTTATCTGTATTGTTGTCATGTTATTAACCTCAAAGAATCACAGTTAGAATTTTTTTTTGATATATTTCATGTTTCTGGACAGTTTTAACTAGTGCTGTCCAAAATATCGCGTTATTAACGCGTTAACGCAAATCAATATTAACGGCGTCATTTTTTTATTGCGCGATTAAATTGTTTTATTTTTTATTTTTTTACTTTTTATTGCAGACAAACACATATACAGAAAAAAAAATAGAAACAAAGAAAAGGACTAGTTCAGATACATTGTAGACAGAGATTACAAACAATATGTAGTTGGAGATACAGGGGGCCAAAAAGAAGAAACCCAGAAGGGCACATAGGAGGGGGGGGGGGACATGAAGTGGGAGATGGGGGGGAGGGGTTAATAAAAAAGGCAATACAAGCAAACAGTAACAGTCATAGATATGCCGAAAGTAAACAGAGAAACAGCATAGAGTATTTACATGAACAAATTTACAAAATATTTACAGATTGTTTATCATCATCATAATGACACCATGATGTTTCTATACAGTCTATGGTCTATACCCACACATACACACACACAATGGTGTAGGTTTGGTTCCAATCTTGGTGGGGACATTCACTACGACCTGAGTCTACACCCATTGACACGGGGTCCAGAGTTTCTCCCCCAGAATTTGTTGTGTAATCACACACTATATTTGCAATAGTGTGTTGCCTTCTATACTAAACTCAGCTGTAGACTGAATGAGAAGCAGTTATGTATGTTAACAGAAGATTAATCATCACAATTCATAATTTGCTATTACTTGTGCTTTCTCTTACTTACTTTCCAACTGTTAAAAAAGCTCCTGATATCTTTTATCTTATTTGTGGAGGTGGCATTTTTTCTAAATTATATAAGAAGGTATAGACAATCAAAAACAGACATTCATATACATGAACTGCAGAATCATTTATATAACTTGGCCAATGTCAAAAGTTACATAGTATTTCTCAATACAATGAGTTAACAAGAGTTTGGCAATAAGTAACAGTGTGGATTTTTCTATATTTTCTTTTTTTTATTCCACTCTCTACCCAAAAAGGCAAGTAATGACTCACAGGGCTCTCAAGTATGCAAAATAAAAACTTAAATGACCTGTTGTGGTGTGTTTTGCGCACAACCAGCATGCATCCTTAACGCAATGGAAAATTTACGTATCCGAGCTTTAATTTCGGGAGCGCTGGTTGCGCTTTGGGAAGAGTCAGGGGAGAGACATGTCAGAGACACAGGGGAGAAACGGGGGAGATACGAGGGAGACCCGCACTTGCAACATGGTTCTGTCTGCATATGGTCCGAGCTCGGTACCATGTTAGAGCTGTGCTTTCACTGAGCGCCGCGGCTGTCATTACAAAGCGGCAGCAGCTGCACCAGGACGTGCACATTCGAGTGCATCTCTTGAATGTGCTTAGAGCAAATAACAGCAAGTGCCCGCTGTCACACATTTCACAGAAATTACATTATCAGCAGATAAAGGTTGTAAATCGTGGATCCGTGGAATATTTTCATCCCTAGTTTATCCTGATTCACACAACACACCCACTTATACATTTTGGATAGTAAGAGCACAATAAGTATTTTTTCAGCCTTTCAACCAACCTGTTTCTTTATTGGAGCCAGTTCTGTTCTGTGTCTGTGCCGTGTGAGCTCCTCGGAACATTTAACAGTGCGCTGACAGATTAGAAATAACGTAAGTACTTTGAATGGTAATAGATCTACAGTACTTTCCTCTGATTACTCACGTGCTACAACGCTCAGGGAACGAAAAAAAACACTTGCTTCACGCTGGCTAACTTTTAAAAATTAAACAGTCGCTCAGTGCTTCAGTTTGGCGCTGAAGAAGACAGCCAATCACTGCAGAGAACGGAACGGGTCACGTGCTGCTGCTGCTGCTGCTGTTGCTCTGGAGGCGAGGAGGAGGCGCGACGTGTGCACAAACGGAAGACATGTGTCCCGGACCGTCTGGGTCCCGGGACATCATGTCATTTTGGTGGGGACTTTTTAGTCCTCACCAAATATTGGTGGGGACATGTCCCCATGGTCCCCACGCAAACCTACGCCCTTGCACACACACACCCAGACACACACACACCCACACACACACACACACACCCACACAAATGTGTGACTAATTTGCGATTAATCGCGAGTTAACTATGAAATTCATGCGATTAATCGCGATTAAATATTTTAATCGTTGGACAGCACTAGTGTTGACCTGACAATCTGGAAATCATCCACATGTGCTAGTACTGCATCAATTGATTAAAATGAGTCAGAATGAGTTTGCTTTCGTCTGCCTTTTGATTATAAACATGCTTTCATACTCACACATGTGTTCATCTATGTGAGACTGAAAATAATGTGAATATTTATGATATTGCTGCTGTGAGCACTGCTGGTCACATATGATGACACATTAACTTTGGCAGCAGTTGAAAAACTTGTGTCCACACACACAACACAAGCTAGCATGTTAAATGTCACTTCACTATAGATTGGAAGGAAAAACACAATAATACGTTTTTTTTTGTTTTAAATACTGACATATAAGTGAAATAAATGTATTTTGTGTTGTGATGTTTATATTTGCAGCATTAAATGTTACTATGCTGTTTCCCATTTGTCCAGGTTGAGGGATGGAGTGAGGAAAATGGAGGAGAAGCACTTCCTAGGTCACAATGATGAGCATGTGGAGTTCCTGCCGGTGGAGTGGAGATCCAAGCTCACTCTGGACGGAGGTGTGCTCTTAGAATATAAACGTTCTTTATAACAGGGCAATATTAGTTACAATAATAATGCTAAAATGATGCTCTTGCAACAAAAGATCCTTTACCACTTTATGAATGTTGTGTTTTTGTCCCTTCTTGGGAGTGCATTTATGGGCTTGAATTATGTGAGCCTGTAAAAAAATGCATATCCATACACAAATACTACTACTACTACACTGTAGTCGCTGTGTGCTTGGCTTGGAGATGGAGATACAGGATATATCCAATATATTACTCTATCTCCACTCAACCCAGGGATTCACACTTTTAATGTAATGTGATTTTTTTCCAAAATGGTACTATACAAGCACTACTGTGTGATAAAAGAAGAGAAACTGAAAATGAAGGATATGTTACTGTCAGCATCATGAGGATGTAACCGTGTCTGTGCTCGTGTAGACGCAGTGGAAACCATTACTCCGGACAAAGTACGAGGTCTGAGAGACCTCCTCAACAGCAGTGCCATGGACATCATGTACTACAACAGTCCTTTGTATCGGGACGAGGTCAGTCTGCCTTTCACTCTGACACCACATTCTCTGCATCTGTTTCCCTTCAGGATCCTGCTCCTCTTCAGTGTCACAAAGCTCACTGTTATAGAATCATGTTTTCAATAGCCACACGTGTCCTTCTCAACTGCGGCTCTTATGAATTTATAGTGTGTTGAAAGTTGTGTCATTGTTCAAAGTACACAAAGACTTGATTGTTTTCAGACAAAAGAACATTTGGCCACAACATTAATCTGGACCCAATCTCAGACAATAGTTTGAGCCAAATACACAAATCTGTGTTTGTGGCTGTTTCCTTAGTTAGGACAAAATAAGCAATTATAATGTTGGATTTTAATTGAAATATACAAAACAAAATAAAAGCAAATAGAAGATAAACATGATTACATATTAATGACTCATTTGAGTGCTTGCATGCTCCTGTGACTCCTTTGTGCATAACTGGGCTTTCTATAATACATGTCAATTGAAAATGTTTACAGCTGGGACACCCAACTTTCACCACACTCTAGAACTAGTTTCATCTTTAGGTCAGCTTTTTTCTACAGAGAAATAAACAGGAGAGGACCACTCATTGCTCAAGTAAAGCTGCACTAACTGACTTTAGGATTTTGAAGCCGCGGACTTGCTGGCCTCGCTCTTTCTCCTCCCCTCCCCGCACCCACGAAGCTATCGCCCCCCACACACACCCACTGTTGGGACAGAGCTAGCGTCTCCCAATATGGATAAATCCATGGATATGGATTTGCACGTGGATGGCGTGACCATAGAACGATAGAACCGGGAAGCACGGAGGAACGAGACTTTCTTTTGGGTGGCTGTCTTGCTGTGTAAGCAGTAACCGGTGACGAAGACGAGGAAGCTTCAGGTTAGCCCCTCGGGTTGCTGTGCTAACTCAGCCGTCTATGCTAACAGACCTGTAGATTTCTCACGAAAGTGGGGGCTAGTGGTCTGCTGTGATCGGTCAAAATCAGAGACCTGAAACACATTTTCTTCCTTGTTTCATCAAAACTCAATCTAAAATATAATGTCACGCCAGCACAAATCTGCGCTACTTTTTCTTCAAAAGGACGTATATCCCAATGCACTACATGGACATGGATAGCATTTTTGTAATGAATACAAAAATAAAGTCAGTTAGTGCAGCTTTAATCTGCACTCAGCCCAAAGTTTTGAATAGTGACGCATAGAGCTCTTTCTTAAGTATGCAAATGTGTTCTAGTGAAATGGCATGTTGTGGTGTGTTTTACTCATGAATAATACAATGTGTATAAACTTGTTGCCATGTCGCTGCAGATCACCAAAGGCCTGACGCAGGAGCTGAACAGACTGTACAGCCTCTTCTGCTCCCGGAACCCAGACTTTGAGGAGCGCGGGGGGAAGGTGTCTGTGGTGTCGCACTCGCTGGGCTGCGTCATCACCTACGACATCATGACGGGATGGGACCCTGTGCGCTTCTGCCTCCAGGAGACCCGCTCCATGGAGGAGGAGTTGGACCAGCGCTGGATGTCCTACGAGGAGAGGCACGTGCTGGAGCAGATCAAGATCACCAGAAAGAGGTGGGGCACAGTGTTAAAGCTTTAAGTTAAATATGACAATCACAAATGCACACACAAGTAACGCCACACGCAGGGCTTAAAGTTTTCCGGCACCGTGCCGGAAATCCGGCGTGAGGAAAAAAAAAAAAAAAAACATCACTTTTTTTTTTTTTTTTTTTTTTTTTAATATATATATAAATAAATAATGATTGCTGTCATTTGAAAAAAGGTTCAAGTGTGTTCTACCAATTGTATGAAAGGATTGCATGTGTATAGCGCAGGGATTAAAGAGTTCCGTCTAAGTGACGGATTTCCGTCAAATGAAATTGGTCTGAAAAAGAAACAAAATATATAATAATAATATAATACACACAATGAAATGGTTAATTATAACAAAATATATAGTAATACGTGTGAATCTGTTGTATATATCTAGATATATATTAATAATTTGAATATAATTGTATTTATATGTATATAGAAATAAAAAGTAACGAGTGGGCCTTGAACGTGCCGTGGCTAGCTACATGAGCGCTCCGTAAATGATTCAAGGCAATGGGACGTAGCCAAGTTAGCGATGGTAACACGGAGGTGATAGTTTCTGAAAAGTGCACGGAGCTTTTGAAAAGGAGAAGAGGACAAGGAAAATGTAATCCCGAACGGAGCAATAACAGCCAGCAGCCCGCGGACCGGTAAACTGGGCGCGTTATCAGAGGAAAGGTAGGACATAATTAACGTTTACCAAACGCAATGCTTTTTTATTTAACGGAATGTACAATATGTACTTTGCTGTGACTGGGAATGGGGACAAGCATGTCTTGGTGAGCTTTTGATAATATCTTGGTGGCGATCCCCATGCAAAACTGCGTGATAAAAAGAGCCAATCAACGAGAGCGAACGGAAGAAACTCGCTGAAGAAAGGTGTGTGTTAGCAGGTCTTATATTCATTCATCAAAGCTAGCCTAGCATGCACGCACAATCACAATCATGGATAATAATGATAATAATAATAATGCATCGGTTTTATATAGCGCTTTTTTGGACACTCAAAGACGCTTCACATGTGTCATTATTCATTCACTCCATACACGGTGGTGATAAACTACTACTGTAGCCACAGCTGCCCTGGGGCACACTGACAGAAGCGAGGCAACCAGTATGCGCCATCGGCCCCTCCGACCACCACCAACCATTCACACACACACACCAGACTCATTCTAGGCAATGGGGGTGAAGTGTCTTGCCTAAGGACACAACGGCAGTTTGGCACTTTACAGCCGCAGCCGCCCCACTCGTTGTTTATGGAAGAAGGAGCAGTATAAGTTGCTGTTGATAACGGAGTGAAAAATAAATGGAGGTGGGCATGGCTGGATGAGGTGGAGACGATGGGATTCTGTTGCTTCATGGTGCAAAAAGATAAAGGTGTCCGGTGCTTGTTCGTACTTCGCTATTATTATTTTTTTATATGGGAGTAATGAGAAAACAGCTTTGGATTCACCACCAGCTCAAAACTGCGCACTTGGCAGCTGTCTGTGCACTTTCCCACACTTCTTTACTTGGTGCATCAGATTCAGCGACAACTGAGACTAGGCTTGCTCTGGTGGACTGTGTCTGTGACCTAAAACTATCTGTGGCTTTATCGCAGAAAATAACCTGTCGTTCAGAACCATCACTACCGCTGGTAGATTTAATTATCATTAATCATTTGCAGTTGATAAAACTGCGCTGTGCACTAGCACCAAGTTGATAGGGAAACCTTTTTCTTAAACATTGAGTGTCCACAAACAAATGTGGACAGAATTTTGAATGTCCTTTTGCGATATTTTGACGAGGACAGAGCCAAAGGACAACGCCTCATCTCGCCTCAAGTAAAGCCAATGATGCAGATGAACTACTCTCACTAATATTTTGTCAAAGAGTTGACAAGTTGCTTGATCCACTGGTTGTAATTTCACATCAAAATACACCAGTTTAAATGTATATCTTTGAAGAATTCGTTTGATCTGTAATTCATTATATTTCCATGAGAAAATTTTCAGTCAAATCTTTTTTTTTTGCTTTAACCCCTGGATGATGTATTTATTGCCAACAACTGATGTTTATAATAAACATCAGTTGTTGGCATTAAATAGATATAAATTATATGTATGAGCGTATAAAGGCGCTTATAAAAAACGCTTATTAGTGATCATTCTATGATTCATATAGATGGTTCAGGCTCAGGAATTTTTTCAACTTTAACCCATGCACACGTATAAATTAATTTTCATTGGCCATTAAACATTCTAGTTTTGGAATCTCACACTGACATATGTTTCCTCTATTATCGATTGGTGTTTGTTTGTCTGTGGCACCATAACGACCTAAGCTTTGTTATTATTATCATGTTATTGATCACTGTAGAGATACTTGCCCTCTGCATTTGACCCATCCTGTAACGTCACTTGGGCCTCTGTCAGGAGCAGTGACCACTGGCTACCCTTCTCCAGACTTTGATGCTTAGCTTGGTCAGGAATAGAGCTGTAGGATTTTTACCTATTGTACATTTGTTTTTTAGTGGTAGAGGAAACCCAGAGGAGATGTGATGGCATTCAATGTGTTTGCTTCAATAAAATATGTTCCATTGTATAGTTTTAGATTTTTATTTCAATAGAATCATTAGTTATTTTTCATGTCTGTCCTCCTTCATCAAGAGCTGGTGTTAGCAGAGCATCTACTGGCAGCTGTGGGAATTACCATCACTTAAGCGTGCAATTGTAATAAATGCAGTCACTAGTCTGATCATCTTCAGGGCCTTCACCTGAATCCTTTTTATGACTTGAGTTGTTAGGTTTGTTCCAGTTCCCTGCACACGTCCGCTCACCTTGAAGTGCAGAGACTCTTTGATGATGTTTCATTCAGCTGCTGTTGTGTTGGTACAGGTTAAGAGAGTTGGAAACTCAGCTCATAGACCTGGAGGCCAGCCGGCCCTCTGCACGACCTGCTCTCAAGTTCAAGGTATGAAAAACTATTATGGGTGTTTGTGGAAGTACAGTTACTTCATCACTCTACTCTCTTTTTATCGTGTTTGCTAGAATCATATAGAACTTTGCTTCTGAACTGGAATAATTTCCTACTCGAACTGATCATATTACTACTAACTGTTGAGAGGGCAGTGCAGAGTTGTGACTGTCTCTCGTGTTTGCACAGATTGAGAACTTCTTCTGCATGGGCTCTCCTCTGGCCGTGTTTCTCGCCCTCAGAGGGATCCGTCCTGGGGTCAGCGTTCACCAGGACCACATCCTCCCCACGTCCATCTGCTGTCGCCTGTTCAACGTCTTCCACCCCACGGATCCCGTGGTCAGTCTGTCCTCACACACATCGCACATCAGTAGACAAATGAAAAAGACTGAAAGACAAATGCCCCCAAAAAGAAAATCGTATTTTGCAAAATAAAAGCTTCAGAATAAAAGCTGCACAAATTATGCAGCCACAGAGAGTTTGGAGAATCGGTGTCAGATGGTTTGCTTCCCAGTCTTTTATCTTATACTTTAGATAAGAGAATGTTTGTCAGAGAGTTAGAAAGAAGTCTAGAAACAATTTGTAACTTGTATTTTTGTCTCATTAAAAGATTCCCATTTTTGACAAATCATTTTTCAGAGTTATTATGTATTCATCTGTTATGACTCCACGATAACATTTCCTATTAACATGTTCAGATATTTTACAGTTGACGTCACATACCAGACTGGTAAATCACTGAAACCATTCTCTAAGAGGCCTGTGACCCAGAGTTACACATTTCCCATCCTTTTCCTTAAATGAGTTTAAATTAAATGTTGTTTTCTTTCAGCAACTCCTCTCTTACTTTCTTCTTGTTCTTTCCAGGCCTACAGACTAGAACCCCTCATTCTCAAACACTACAGCAATATATCCCCCGTGCAAATCCACTGGTGAGTCCTCCTGTCCGTGCGAACCAGTCTTTGTATCCTCGTTGGTCTCGTATATCTCATGCATAGAGAGTATATTAGGAGTGAACCAAGAGGTGACGTGACCGTAGTGTTTGCCGAATGAAGCTGATTTGAGGATTTCGTTCCGACTGGGTTAGCTTTGCGCTGTAACAGAGGCAGATGCAAACTAACGTGTTGCTAACATGGTTGCTAGGGAAAGCTTGAGTTTCCCCAGCATCTGTTTGGTCAATCCTTTTATCTTACAAAAATTATATCAAAATAAGAACGCTAGGATCATAGAGATTTTGTTTAAGCCCAAAATGCTCAGTGTGACACAAACTGTTACTAACCTAGAGGAGTTTACTCGTTAGTCAATAGAACCTAGAGTGAGTTGGAGCAAAACTTTGTCCATGAGCACTTCATTGTCCATATAGATTCAGTCTCCAATCACATGTCTGTCCCCAGGTGCAGTGCCACTAACCCCACGCCGTATGACGAGCTGAGGCCGACCTTCCTCACCCCGGTCAAAGAGCCCACATCAGACACCGACAGCATCCCCAGCCCCAGCACCTCCCCAGTCCTCCCACGCCGCCACTACGGAGAGTCTTTCACCAGCCTGGGCAAGGCCAGCATCCTGGGTATGAGGGTATTGGGTTGATATCATAAATATATAGACATTTCATTTATTCTTATTGTATGTATTTAAAATGAAATGTACAAAAGAAGGAACATGGAAATGATCAAGTTTTCTCCCATATATTATTTATTTGTTCTTTCCTTTGGAGCAATTTATCCATTTTTACATTAAAGCTAAATTACATTATTACCTAATTCTTCATATGTCACACTAATTTTAATGTACATTTTATATGAAGATATAATTCAGCTCACACTCTCAGCAAGACAGACTACAACCAAAGGTGAGCAATGTTGTCAGGACAATGGAATTCACATGATACATTTAAAGCTGGTGTACCTAACTTTCAAACCACAAATATGGAACTAATCCATCGAATGAGGTCCTCGCTCGCAAAACATGAATTGGTACAAAGCTAAGTGTGCCTTCCCTTTGTTGTGTGGGTTTAGGGGCGGCAAGCATCGGCAAAGGCATCGGGGGCATCCTGTTTTCTCGCTTCTCCCGCTCCAACAGCCAGCCGTCTGTGAGCCTGGGAGCAGAGGGCGTGGTCACCAGCGAGGAGGAGGAGCAGAAGAGGGCCGAGAGCCAATCAGCGTACGGCCTGTCCTCCATGGTCCGCCCCACTTCCCCCACCGTCGACACATCACGTGAGTCCCAGCGAATGGAAAAACATAGAATACGTTAGGATTAAAACATCTTCACATTTCAGTTTAAAACAACATCTAAATGAGTGCCACCCAGTCCAATGGAAGCTCTGTCAAATATTTGTTATGGTATTTTAAAATCTGACTTTTTGGATTAACTCTGAGTCAAAAATGATGCCCTCGTTTAACAGAATGTAGATGCTTCATGACAAATGACTAAAACATCAAATTGACTGGAGGAGCATACAGTACAGGACCTAAAACTACCACATATGGTGTTATGTACCATGGAGGAGCAGAAGCAGAGAGAGCAAATAGTTAAGATTAGGGAATATGAAGAATAGGCTTCTTTATCAAAAACGGCGCTTAGATTCAATAGAACCAACCTTTTGTTAAGACGGTTGTGGTTTCCTTTAACATTGTTTATTATTTTTTATTGAGGCAGTCTCCATGCTGTCGCTCATCCATAAACCAGAATTGACATGGGACTAAATAGCCTCAAAATGGTAAAGATACTACTAGTATTTTTCCTTTTATAACTGTTGCTTCTTTAACACTAGAACTGCAAAAGTCAATTCCAGAGCAGTTATTTTCCACCAGAGAATTGTTAGTTACCACGGCAACACTGTTTACTGTCAGCAGTTAGCATTCGGTAGCCTTCCCACAAACTTTTTTGCTCTATTTCAATTTATATTCATGAGTTTTAGTGTTTTTTTAAAGTAGGTAAAGGTAAAAAACCTCATAGATTACCTACTAAAGATTACCTGAACCCCATTGGTTTGAATGGGGGGCAGTCAAAATGACGGCTCTGGGAGTTATAGTAGTTATAGTAGTTTCAGAATTCTGGGAGTCCTAGTGTTAATGGCTCTAGGGAAGACCCCAGTCTGAGAATTGTTTTGGAAATGAATGTTATTGAAGCATGTTGAGCTTGACTGAGCAGAACCCTCACTCCTGTGTCCCGCTGCAGTGGAGCTGGAGCGGCGCATAGACTTTGAGCTGCGCGAGGGCCTGGTGGAGAGCAGGTACTGGTCCGCGGTCACCTCCCACACCAGCTACTGGTGCTCCCACGACATCGCCCTGTTCCTGCTGACCTTCATCTACAAGCCCTGCACTACCCCCACCCACCAACAGCAGCAGCAGAGCGTGGATGAAGAGCCGGACTGAAGGCTCTCCCCTCACATCATCCCCACATGGACTTATGCAGACGACACGCATCATTCCATTCCCTTTTATGCTTTTTATTTGTGGATTCTTTTTTTTTTCACTCAAAATCTCAGTGGCTTTTGGACCAGCAATTGTCCATGTTTGTACTGTTACTTAAGGGTCTGGGTTCACGTGTTGCCATTGTATTCGGAGCGGCAGGCCGGGTCAGAATTCTATGGCAGACTTTGACCGTAAAAGTTCTTCTCCTGCTTCTATTTGAAAATCAAACTTGAGGATGAATGAAGTCACTTTTTAACATTGAAATCTATTGCATTACAAAAAAAGTGACCTCAGCGTAGCATACTGTAAAAAAACAGGTAAAATGTAGTTAATTTGCCGACATGTAGCTTTCAATCTTAAAATCGCAAATGGTAGAATTCAAAAACCTTGGTTCTCTTTCCTTAAACACTAAGCGGCACAGGCTGATCTTGGCTAAATGACAAATACCAAATACAAGAGCTGATGTTGGCTAGATGACACTGATCTTCTGTTTATGTTTACTCTGTATTAGTGACTGAGGGCCACATAAAATGACACATAAGGCCGCAATTTGCCCGCGGGCCAAGTTTGGAAATCTAGATTATAAACTTGGTGTAGTCCTCTGTAGTGTGAATCTCTGGGGTCCTGGGTCCACAGCGCTGAGGCTTATTTTGAAAGTCCAAAGTTTGTTTCGACCCTCCTATTTTGACACATTCCTGTCCAAACAACACGCCAACCTTTCCCACTGTTGTCCTGGGTCGACGCGCGCGGAAAAAGCCTTTTATATGAATTTGCGGCAACAATCTTAAACTTTTTCCCCTCCCACATTCCTCGACTTTAAAAAAAAGCACTTTAAACCATGAGATTACTACAATAACTTTGTGGAGGCAAAAGAAAAAAATAAAATGGCGATCAGTAAATCTCCCATAGACCTCGACAGACCCTGCCCTCCGAATGAAATGGCGACACCGTATTCTCAAATATCGTGAACCTACTGACAAAGTCGACTAAAATGAAAGGTTCCCACAGCCTCATCACATACTTGAGCTAATCCCTTTTCACACTGCATCTACTAATATTACTTTGACAACACATGCGATGCCTTTTTGATTGTAACCAATGAAAATTTTAATGTATTTAATGTATCTGTGGACAAACTGTAGGGCATTATCCCTTTAAAAGATAGAATTTCACCCCGAATGACTGTTTTATCTATTTTGAATACGGATTAGTCTGCACTTCAGAAGAATCGTTCATATTCTAAAGTTATGATTGACTTAGTTTACAGCTCAATAGTCCTTTTTGGCTTTCTATTCAGGCTTACTTTAAACCCAGCTTTCTACATTTTGGATCAGACTCTGTGTACACGGCGTGGGCTTTGAAGACTCGTTCCGACTACGTAGATGTATTTTCTTAAATCAAAACTAAAGGAAGTATTTTCTTAGCAATATTCACACTCCTGCCTGGACGCGGGCTGAAAGGGCGAGGTCAGGGTGGCTCTTCTGCCCATCCTACGTTTTTTTGTTCTCGGTGTCATCGCTTCAAACATGTACCTGTACCTGCCTTTCATCTTTCCACGTCAAAGGGAAAACAAAAAAAACAGACTGGACACAAGTTTTGTAAACTTTTGCTTCTGCTGAAAATGCATCTCTTGTAAAGATGGGGGGCAGATTTATAGAAAAAGAGAAAATATACAAGTGAAGAAGGACACGTGTTATGTTGACATGGGCTGTTCCCTCAAAGAAAGATAAAATCTGGATGTTGTCTGTGCTGTTTTTAGTCCAGACGTCATTGACAGACGAGCTTTGCAAATTTCACTACAGAATTTTTCTAAAAATGTTTATTTGGTTTGCCCTCCAAACATTTTGGTTCTATCACTAGTTTCCCCATGTGTGTGTTTTTGGCCTCTGTCACATCTTTAGATTAGCTTTTTCAGGTAGAAGAGAGAAAAGAGAGGACCACCCTCACTCAGCCAATCAGCTCTCAGCCCAAAGTATGCAAAACAGTTTTCCAATAAGAAAAATGGGAAAGCATGTGGTGGTCTAATTTGTTCTTTCTGTTGAAATAAAAGAAACGGTGTAACCGAGCTTTAAGGCCCCAGGGCAGTTTTTGATGAGGGGAAAATGCTTTAAAGCCCAGAAAAGGTCAGTTTGACACGTGTCCTTTAAAGCTTTGTTGCTTGCATGGCGTCAGATGAAGGACATTTCACACAGTGCCATTGTAACACTGACCACACTGGAGTCCTGTTTTTTTACTGCTAACCCGTCAGTACGTGTCCTCTGTGTGCTCCATCAGCTTTCTCCAAAGGGCTGAGTGAACTGACGGACTTTTCCACGTGTGAAAGCACATGTGTACGTACTGGGGGGAGGGGGCGCATGTTCTAGACGACACAATAGACTGTACCACGTTCGGGCCGTGGGCTCGGCCGGCGCTGCTGTCACACTGTGTGAGCGAGTGGTTTTGCACAACTTTCATATTGTAGAGAAAAGGGGGAATCGTTCCAAGCACACGGGCGCCTCATCTCATTCTGCTTGCTCCAATGTTGCACCTGAAGAGGAAATAAAGATGTTTTATTATGAAGATTAACACAGCTTCTGTCTTTGTGTGTGATGTGATGAGCGTAATACTACCACAACAAATTAAAATAAATTTGTTTACACACACATGTTCTGAAAAAGGTTTGGATGAAGCGGTTGCTCTAGAACTTACAACACCCCCTTTTACACACTCAACACAGTTTGGAAAATATGGAAAAACAAACAACAGCACCAAAGACGCAATCATTAAAAAACACAATATTGTATGTGGAAGAACACACACAGGTCTGATGTTTATCTGTTTTTCTGTTATGTTAAGGAGTTTTACCCAAATGCAAAAAACATTACCTGCATCTTTAGATAAAATATTGGCAGATTTCTTGAAATCAATAATGTAACTTGAAATTATAACATTGTTTTATCTATTTCCTAGATTACAGAATCTGTTTGAATTTTTTGTTCTTAATTTTGTTTTATATGCCATAATTTGTATAACCACCGTGTATTTTACATTAGTTATGTATTTGTATATTTCGTCCCTATTTTGTTTGCATATTCCAACAAAGGGAGAGAAAAGACTAAACCGTAGATCATCATCCACAGGAATGATATTACAACATTAACAACAGTCCAAAGTGATGTGACGTTCTCTGGTGAAATATCTGTTGTCAGACTGGTGCAAGGTTACAGCCAAAGGAACAACATTCATTCATGTTTGTGGAGATGCACCAAATAAGTATGAGTATGTTATAAGACGGTAAAATCTCATCAAATATGAAAAGACGAGTGATTCGCTTTCTGACCACTAGAGTTCGCTGTTCTTCTGAACATGGACAGCCCTTGAGGCCAACCATCCACTCAGACGCATCACCTCTGATGCTGCCTTCATGTTCTCTGGGAAATATGACTTTTCACATGTGAACTGGTATTTATTATTAGTGTGGTCTGTTCTTTGTGTGTGTACACTGTAAAGTAAGAAACCCATCAGATTAAACGGCGGCAGTGGTCCGCCTCGAAACCACAGCTGAAAGCCCTGAACGATTATTGGTTAACAAACAGAACTTCTGAAAGCCTCTTTTCAGTTCGGTTCAGAATAGTCTAAATAATTACAGGACACACAGTACCTACACAATTTCAAAATGAAAAAATGGAAAAAAAATACTACTAGCTATACAGACAAGGCCAGAGTTGTTTATTGTACCAAGCTTATAACACCATTCAGTTCTCTGTCAGAGGTGCCATGTATCCAAATAAAACATTACTTTTACCATTACTTTGTAAAAGCCCTGTTTCCACCAGCCCTATACTTGTTTCTACTCTATTGAGCTCTGCTCTACTCTGATTGGGAGAGTTCCACCGGCCCTGTTAAATCAGTATCGGGTACTTTTTTAGTACCTGCTTGGCCCTGGTTCTATCCAGGCAGAGCTGGTACTAAAGTGTTCAACCATGGTTACCAAGGACTTTCCCCAGATCATGGTTTGTTTTGGGTAGGTTGGTTTTGAGAAAACAGGACCAGATTCTGAAGCGTGATGGAAACACAACCAGGTAGAGTAGAGTAAGACCGAGTAGGACCGAGTAGAGCTGGTAGAAACAGGGCTTTATGTTTGAGTTTGGGGCTTTTGGAGTCATTACTTTTTTCTTTGGGACACTTTGTTTAGCAGAGTCGGACCATCACAGTCAGTCTATGCGAACTGTTCAATCACCAAGCAATTTTATCTCTAATAATAGTAATACATATAATAACATATGTTATTATATATAAATAACATATTTCATATTAAGTTTATATTATATTATATTTTTATTTAGCTTTTCGAAGATGTTACCAACACCTTACAACCTATGCATTATTATTTGTTCATGTTTTATTATTATTTGTTATGTTTTGCTATTGTTTTGAGTGTATAGTATAGTGTGTTGTATTTTCCTTTACTCCCAGAGCACACAAAGGCACCAATACAATTCATATTGTTTGAATAAAAGTAGGTTAAATGAAATAAATACGGATCAAAATACTAATATAATAACTTTTTCTTGCAATTTTAGAAGCTCTTTATATGACATTTGCACGACTAGAATACGACTCAAGCTCAAAATGTCAAAAACATACAATAGAGATAAATGACTAAAAGACAAAAAAACATGATTTATTTAGTTCCCGCCTCTCTGCAGTAGTAGCCCATATCAGCACCGCGTCACTGGAGTGTGTTTACTGTATTATAACAATGCTATAAAAGGCAGCAGACGGCAGAAGACGGCAGAAGACGGCAGAAGACGGCGGGGAGGAGGTCTGAGGAGACCCCCACAGACCTGGGTTCTGTCTGTCCTCAGAGGAAGACATTTTACACATTGACTTCATTTAGAGGTATTTTAATGCCTCAAACACCTCAAAACAATAGTTCAGGTGATGGGAGACTGCTGTAATACCATAGGGACCACTGTGGGGCGCTGCGCTCTTGTGAAAAACTTGTTGTGAAGCAACAAACTTCAGCTAAAGGTCTGTAAGACTAGTCTGTTCTAGGGCAGCTTTGGCTACAGAGTGTAAAAGTGAATGAACACACAGCCTCTGTCTATAAACACGCTTCATTTTTTTAATTATGTTTTTAATTAACTTTTTTTCCAATTGATTAAACACATAATTCTAGACCAGGTGTCAAACTCAAGGTTCCAGAACTTGCATCATTGACTGTGATATGTTTCAATGGCCACCATGGCATGGTATATTAAAGCTAATTTTCTCAAGGAAACAACCATTTTATTTAATGTTTTCTACAATGTAAACCATGGATATAATTATAAAATAAATAAACATTTGACCACAGTTTTTTTTTTTAAAGCCTTCACCTTTTGTCCAGTTTTGGTTTAACCCAAAACAAACAGTCACTGAATGAACTCTGTTTACTTCAAATGAACGTGAACATATTGTCAAAACACCTTCATAATGTGAAACAATATCTAACTTTCCACGAAGAAAACCACTTTTATACTTCAGTAATACACTACTATTATTATTATTATTAGTATTGGACCCCAGACTAAAAGGAGCTTGACGCCCCTGTTCTGGGAGTGCAGTCATACAGCTGTGTGGCCGGTGGTTCCTCTGGTCCTTTCCTTTTATGACTCTGGCAACACACATTGACTCTGATTTATTTTCTGTTTATTTACATTTTATCCATCCATTTTTCTTCTTCTGCCTTATCAGTTTTCATTTTTTCCCCTTTATTATTTAATTTAGAAAATGTTAAGCGGCCATCATGTTTATTGTTGCAAGTATTTCAAAGCAACAGTATATTTTACACTGAAGATGATGTGTGTTTGCTGAAGGTTAAAACCTGCTTAATGACAACATAACAAACTTTAGCAAGAGAGAAACTCTCACTATCAAACTGCCTTTTTATTTTCACATGTTCCAGGTATTTGTGGTATCAAAAAGACACAGGTCTAAAAAAACTCACCATCTTTTCCATTGTTAGTTAGTCAGTTTATTTTTTCAGTCTCTTCATACAGACTACAATAGTCAACAAAACATTAAAAGAAAAAAACATAAATAAATGACTGAAAGGGTTTTGGCTGAAGTGAGACAAACTCCGTACAAATTGATTACAATTTAAAGATAGATAGCACCAAGCATACAGCAAATGAGGCGAAAATAAATTGTTTACAAAGTATATTCACAGTAAATGTTAATTGTCACCTCTCAACACGTGTCAAAAAGACCGTGGGAACAAGCCTTGTGTGTAACTCAGCCGCAGGGTTCTGTGGAAGTAACGACTCACACAATATGTTTAATATTTTCTGTTGAAATATATATTTAATGTTAAACCGGACAATTACAGCCAAAAACACATTACCTCCTTAGAAACAAGAGTGAGTCAGAATATTACAGACAGTTGCATCAGTACCACAGTTGTATGTGTATAAATATTCAAACTGAATAAAATTCCCATATGAATGTATGATTATCAATGTTTTTAATGAGAATATGTTTATATGTTTACATATTTCCCACTTTCCTTTTTTGAAGATGTTTGCAAGTGAAAACTGGGGTACCTACCATCCACTAAATACAATTTGCTATTTCCATGAAAAGACTCTTGAGTAGCATTTTCTGAACAAATTGGACCTCATTGTGCTGCAGTGATCCCTTTAGAAATTATTTGGCGTGATCCTCTCTTTTCCACTTTTCTGTCTGAAAAAGCTGAGACGGAGGCTGAAAACACAGGCATGTGAAAACTATAGCAACCGTTTTAGAGAAGGGAACTATAGTTAGAGGGATTTTATTAAGCCCAATATTTGTAAAACTGGAAACCACAAACAGTTAACTATCCAAGTAAGTACTGTAGTTCCTCGCTCTCAAAACAGTTTTCACATGCATGTGCTTTTGGTCTTTGTCACATCTTTAGATCAGCTTTCAGAATGTAAACAATAACATGTTTTTTTAATAAGTCGGGGTCTGAAAAGTTCACAAAATATTACTTTAAAAGAAGACACTGGGGACAAACAAAATATTTATGAAACAAAAAATGTTAGATACCCAGCTTTAATACCCCTGCGTACCCTGGTTTGGAAACACTGCTCGACTACACCAGTGTTTCCCAAACTTTTTGAGCTGTGACACACTTTTTCATTGAAAGGAATCAAGTGACGCTCCACCAGCTGAAAATTTTACATTGGGCTTGAAGGTTTATGGCAGGATTTTCCCAAATTTTAGGAAAGAACCGCCCTCTGCACTTTTTGAACAAAACTCTCTGGTCTTATTTGACGAGCACGTATCACCAAAATGATTGACAACTGGGAGGACCAATAGTCTTGATGATCCACCCGGAAGTAGAACATACTATATACCTTTAATAAAACAATGAAAAGTCAATAACATCTGAGTGTATTCCAGGGGTGTCCAAACTTTTTTGTAAGAGGGCCACTTTAGTTCACCAGACTAGTCCAGTGGCCGACATCACGGACTGAAAAACTGTCTTGACTGGCATCGGGCTGTTCCGAGATTTATGCTGATCTATAACAGAGCTGAAGTTGGCTGAATGACAAATGTTTACCATCTCACCAGCTACATTAGCATCATTATTGGAGACACAAGGGACACAATCAAAAACCACGTCAGTACTAGCCTGGTCGTACCACACCATAGTACAAATGACATTTCATACTAAGGTCTGGAGGTGCTCCATTGAGCTCCGTGAACAGGTGGGAGGGGTTAACTCCTTTTGCAGATTGAAATGATTGGATCTGAGTTTACCGTGACGTATGTAGTGCGCCCGAGTCTGTTGTTAGCATTTAGCCTAGCCATCTCCTTTGCCGCTAACGGAGCACGTGGGGAGTAGCGCCACAATTTTTTCCAGCGATTACATTTGCTAAACATTTATGAAGGTTATTTTGTGTTTTTATTATCAACACTTTTTTTTGCTTTTGCATTCTATAAACTGTAACAAAAAAAGTATTCAGTGTAAATAAATTCAATGTTTTAAAATTCAGTGTCAAAATATTCAATGTTTTAAAATTCAGTGTCAAAATATTCAATGTTTTCAAATTCAGTGTCCAAAAATTCAATGTTGAAAAAAATTCAGTGTCCAAAAATTCGTAGCATTTTTTTTCGCTGCTTGAAATGTCATGCTTTATGTCCGCACTATACCCTATTCCAGCCATTCCCAAACTCAGTAACACCGAGGCCCCCTTAAAAATCTGACGGGTCTGCGTGGCCCCCCAAAATAATAACCAAGAAGACTTTTTTTTTTTTACAGTTTATAGAATTCAAAAGCAAAAAAAAGTGTTGATAATAAAAACACAAAATAACCTTCATAACATTCCTATTGCTCCGGCTTCAATTTCTTGATAGAACCAGACCGGATTACTTTACTATCACATTTTTTGCCATTGCCAAACTACAACCTGCCCGTTTGACGCAAACTCTTGACATCACCCACAACTAACTACAACACCCACCTCCTGCGCTCTCTGATTGGTCGGTCGAAATTCAACCGATTGTAATTCCTAACATAGGGATTAGACCCAGACGTTGCAGTGAAATGATGATTGAACGGAGTGTACGGATGGCTAAGGCCAGGCTACGTCAGTACAGTATGTGCAAATAAAGTCAACAACGTACTGGGCTTCAGAACAAGGTCTGTATTGGCTGAGCTGAAGTTGGATGGTTGAAAAAGTGAACTTGTGTTTATGATCTCAAAGACTACTTTGGGTTAACATGGCAAAGGGCCACATAAAATGACACTGAGGGCCGCATTTGTCCCCCGGGCCTGAGTTTGGACATGCTTGGTGTAATCAATAACCAAACATGTACTAAGAATAAACATGTTTGCAATCTTCACACATTATCTTCCAATATATATATTTTACCTTTTTAAACCGATTACGTAATATATTGGATCATTTCCAAAGGCACACGATACAAAATCTCAAGGCACAACATGGCATGGCACACTGGTTGGAAAACACTGGACTACACCAAGCACTTTCCCCCACTTTCTCCCACCACCAAGCCCTCTCCAAACGCATCCCAAATCTCTCCCCCCTTGTATTTCTCCTCAAAAACCCCACTCCTCAAAAACTATTCCCATGCTTTTCTTCTTCCCAGTCAGCCCGCTCTGTCTCCTCACTCTTCCCAGCCTCAGAAAAAAGCAAAAGTGGGATCCTCCAGTCTCCAGCCTGTATGCGTGACGTGGGAGCGGGAGGAGGGCGCACGGAGGGGAGGACACATTCTCCATTTGCCCCGGAGCGAGCGCAGCAAAACTACTCTGGGACTAGTTCGCTTCGGCGGCTGTTTCCACTGGATTCCCCCCTATTTTAAACCACTTTCCCCAACTTTCCACCCATGTTATAACCCGGAGCGACTTACCCACACCACTTTTTGTCATATTTTTGTCGTTTTTATCTGCTTTCTTGTGCGTAAAAAGGTGAGTTTTTTACCCCGTGCGCTTTCGGCTTTGGGTCAAATCCGTGTTCGCTCTTTGCTACTAGCTACAATCACTGCAAGCTGACCTCCCAGACATGATCGACTTTCTACACGTGTTTTGAAACGTATACGTGCATATTTAACAGTGTTTGGTTCAGCAAAACGCGAGGAATTACGCGTAAATAGCTTCCATAGTTGAGCTAAGACCTAAGCTTTACCGTTATATGGAACAGGTGACGGCTGTAGACGAAAACGTGCCATTATGAGCTTCCTAGTTGCTTTGATTAGATTTTATTGTATACTTAAAACTATTTAAACTGCTTACAAAGTATATTTTAATTGCAAAAATAAGCGGGGGAAAGCAGGCTGCCATTTATAGTCAACGTGGAGGGAAGAGAGAGTGGACAGGACGTGCCATATAGGATTGAATGGTGGAAGTTTTGGGAAAGGACCAAAGCGTATGTTTGTCAATTGTTTAAAAAAAGAAAAAAAGTTTGTTAACATAAGTGTTTGATGAATTTTTAAATGCTTTTCGGGTGAGATTGCATTGTTTTTGAGCATTGCATACATGTTGGACAAGTTGTATGGAAGATTAAAGGACAGAAAGATACAACAGCTCAAAGCAATACACTTTTAATTTTTAGAATATCTGGATGTGTTTGATTCTTGTACAGTTTAAAAACATGCATATGGAGGATGCATGCGAATACGTGGGCTCCAAGGCTTTACATGGATTACTGATAACAATAGCAGGAGGGTATGGTAGTTATGGTATAGTTTTAATGTGCCTTTTGTGCATGGAACATTGGGGTAAGACTGAGGATAATTGAAAACCACCACGAATGGGAATATGATGGTGTCTTTTACCTCAACTGATTCATTGAATGGAACAGAGCTGTCAGATGTATCCAATAATACATGTTTGTAACAGAAAGACTCTTGTCAAATTTAGATGTTGTGAACAATTCATACCACAACCACATATTGTCTGTATTTTATTAGAAAACATGTAATCTGGCGCATACTTTTGTAAGAAAGAGCTCTGCGAGTCACCATTTGACACTTTGGGCTGAGATGTGATTGGCTAAGAGAGGGAGGTCCTCTCCTTTTCTCTTTTCTGTCTGAAAAAGCGAATCCAAATCTGTGACAGAAGCCAAAAAATACATGTGTAAACTGGTGATGGAAGCATTGATCTATAGTGGATTGTATTACGTAGTTGTTTGTGGTTTTAAAGTTGGGTACTACGGATTTAAATATATAATCCAAAAATAATTAATCAATGTGGGGAACGAAAGTATATGTTTTTGAATAGAGGTTTTAAAATTCAGCTTTTTGCATTAACCAGTAACAGCAGCACGTTTTAGATGTATTTATTACTTATTGTACTGCAGTTGTCCGGTGGCAGCACGGAAGAAAATCATGAAGAGCTTTCAACGCACAGCAGAGAGGTGTAACATGTGTCTCTGGTCTTAACCCCAGTTTACGATGCTAATGAAGAGGCCCACTTGGAAACATTGACCATATGAAGTTCATTCCCCCCAGAGTCAGACTATGGTTGCCGTTCAAAATATCTTCGTAAAATCATAAACTACCGCACTTTCTATACTATTCTAGACTATATGGCACACCTATATTTAAGCTGCACCACATACATTTTAAAATAGAAATCAATTTTGTCCGCATATAGGCCGCACTTGAATATAAGCCGCAGGTTTTTATGTTGTAATGTCACAGATAGACAAGTGTTTTAACTGGTCACTACTGGTTTCAATGATGAGGTGCAACTGTTCGACAATAAATGAGTGGTCCATAGCTACTAAATCTTGATGGAGTCCAAATAATAAGTCCACAAACTCTGCTCTCACAGCTCTACCACAGTAAAAATACACATATTAGCCACATCGCTGTAGTCCAAAGAACTAGAAAAAAACGGTCTGCTTTTAGTCTGGAAATTACGGTTCTCTTTAGCCCAATTTTCTCCTCTTATTGGAACTCATCACGGCAGAGTAGTTTTGTGCTTTGAGCTTCAGTATTGTACAGTGACTTCTATAGACCAATGAAAAAAAGCAGCAATTTACAATGTTTCTTGATTTGTAACTGGGTGTTATTCAGTTATACTCTCCAATTACATGAAATGCCATTTGTGTACTTACCCAAACCTGGGGAGGCAGCGATTCAGATTCTTCCTGAAAATGTGAGACAAGCTTCTACTCTACCAATGTTCAAATCTAGCTGTGCATACGACTGAAGGATTGTATCTTCACTCTTTTTAACTCGATCATGATTTTAGTGCCTTGTATGTTTGTTACTATCTTGTTTTGTTTAGCACTTTGAGTTCTGTGCTATACAATCAAGCATGCAGAGTCCAGAGAAGCATGGTCTGTAATCTAGTGCTTGTTATGTCTGTGTACTAGAGATGCACCGATCCAGCTTTTTTACTACCGATACCAGAGCTATGGGTTTCTGCCGATACCGATATTGACCGATACCGGAAATGATCATGCTAAAATGTATTTAATAATTGAACTCTTTGTTCAAGTAACTGCAAAAGCAGTGGATGAACTAAAGCGCTAAACTTTCCAGATAAAAATGGATTCAACATAAATGTGCAATAATGCACCTATAAAGAGCTGCTCAATGTTCACATTAAACATTCCAACACTGTATTATACCTTATACATTTATTGAATATAAATGTACTTATATTAACTGTGTTTGAATAAAAAAAACACTTACAACAAACAAAACACGCTGCATGAAAATGTAAATAAATAATAGTACCGTAGCTTTAACTGGATTTCAGATATGTATTTGGCAACGGCATGTACCTGGGTTCCAAATGGTCTATGCGGCTGCGAGCCCAAACTGATGAACTCCAACACTTTCGGGTTGTTGCTGAAAAGCTTTTTGTGACGCTGCGTCAGTGTCATCTGTGTCTCGTTGTTTTCACGTAATCTCCTTTCGATTCAAAAACTCCCCATGCTGTTTCTCGTGGTGCTTAGTCGTGTTGTATTTCGCTAGTTTACCGCTGCGCTCCATGCTGTGTTGTTGTTGTTGTAGAGCGCCACGAGGAAGTGACGTGTACGTGAGATATGATAAATTACTTTTAATTAATTCATTTTATACGTATATGTACATTATGCACAATGTATTTTAAGACATTGTGCGGTACCTGGTATGTATTAAAAAATATATATAATTTTAAAAAAACAAAAAAGAAAATGGATCGGCAGCACGGCGCCTCTCTCTACGCAAATATCCGATCCATTTTTTTTTCTGGTATCGGCGCCGATATTGATACCAGTATCGGATTGGTGCATCCCTACTGTGTACCATATACATCCTCTCTCCTCTTCAGCTAAACATGTGAAAACTTAATACACACGTTTTCTCAGGTTTAGTTGAGGAGGAGAGACAAGATATGATGTCCAGTAGGTCATGTGACTTCCGTCCAATGGCTGTGGTTGGCATGTTTTCTGATTCTGGCCCAGCTTATGAGCAGTTCCTCATGTTGATCGTGTTGGCGCGAATGCCTGGTGCCGGACTGTCCCAATTTGCATTCATGAAAACCTTAAAAGCCATCTAATGCAGCCTAAAGAAAAAGTAATGTGACTGTTTCTTTGTATGGATTTTGTTTGTTGCGATAAACAAACAGGAGTCACATGAGAACATGAGAGCATATTTATAATGTATTTTTGACTGGTTACTTACTGTTGTTGTCACGAGACTCTGATTACGTGTCTGTTTGTCGCACCGAGAGTCAAAATCACACTGAGCTATAATTAGATTTGTTAATTTCATTGAAGAAGAAAAACTCTGGAACAGGCATTTAAAGCTGGGGTCCTGGAGTTCCAATCCACAAAGAATTAAATTAGGTTCAAAATCCAATCCTCACCCTCAAAACAGTTTGGTTCAATGATCATTTTCACATTCATGTATTTGTCTGGCTTTAGATCAGCTCTTTTAACTCGGCCAATCAGCTCTCAGCCCAAAGAGTAAAATAGTGACACATTTTACTTTTAATTACGTGTTTGTGCCTGAAGTTCCTTTCCCATTTGCACCATGTCTCCTGTGATATTGATGTATACTTTGATGTATACCTAACCCTGCCTGTGTTTACCCGCGTCCCAGGATGGCTCTGGACGGGATCCGGATGCCCGACGGCTGTTACGCCGACGGGACGTGGGAGCTGAAGATGCACGTGACCGACCTGAACCGGGACGTGTCGCTCAGAGTCACTGGGGAGATCCACATCGGAGGGGTCATGCTCAAACTGGTGGAGAAGCTAGGTAAGCTACGGCTATTTTTTGCATTGTTTTTGCTTTGATTTTAACTCAGTTTGTGCTCCAAAAATGAATATTATACCAGTGTCGGATGAGGAGAAATAGTTGAAGTTCCTCGACATGATGAAGAGCTAATGTTAAGCTAATGCTATGCTAACAGTGGCTATGTTGAGTATTCTTTTCGGAAATTTGATGCGGGACAGACTAACGGTGGAGCCAGATGACCACTGAAATCAATAACAAAACCAAATACGAGAAGAAGAAAGAAGAAAATGTTGGGAAATGTTTGTGGGAAGCCAGGTCGTGGTATAGAAAGTGTGCTGGATTCAGGAGCTCATGTAGTGACTTTTAATACAGAAGTAGGGATGTACCGATCCGATATTCAGTACAGTGTTTCCCACAGGTTTGAAGGCAATGTGTGGTGGTCGTCGGCGGGGCGGCGGGGGGGGGGGGGGGGGAGTGGGGTACAGTGGTACAGTGGTAGAGGACAATCTTGAGGTCATGAATCCAGTGAAATTAGTCGCACACCTTTTTACAGTTAATAAGTTACAGTAGATCAAAAGTGACATGTTTTGACTATTTTGGAGGTATTTTGGACCAAAATGGCTACTTTACCTCAATATTTCTCAATATTTCTACAGTAAAAGTGTCTGGTCTTTGGTACAGTGGTAGAAGGCAATGTTGAGGTCATGAATCCAGTGAAATCAGTTGCACACCTTTTTACAGTGAAAAGTTACAGTAGATCAAATGTGACATGTTTTGACCATTTTTAGGCTATTTTGGACCAAAATGGCTACTTTAAATCAATATTTCTACAGTAAAAGTGTCTGGTCTTTGGTACAGTGGTAGAGGACAATCTTGAGGTCATGAATCCAGTGAAATTAGTCGCACACCTTTTTACAGTAAAAAGTTACAGTAGATCAAAAGTGACATGTTTTGACTATTTTGGAGGTATTTTGGACCAAAATGACTACTTTACCTCAATATTTCTCAATATTTCTACAGTAAAAGTTTCTGGTCTTTGGTACAGTGGCAGAGGGCAATAATAAGGTCATGAGTCAAGTGAAATTAGTCGCACACCTTATTCCAGTAAATAGTTACAATACTTGAAAATTGCACTAGCGGACCAAATTGTGTACTTTATACATGTAAACAATAGAGTGGCTATCCTCCTGAGGACTCACAATCTGCCGGAGGAATCGTAGGGGGCTGGTGCTATGTGTGCCGGGTGGCATCTCTATAAGGTTTTAATCACAAAAACGTGTCTCCCAGACCCCAGCGCGCTTTCTGTTCGATAAAAATGGGTGACTCCGAAAGGACGTTCCGCTGTTACCGTAAGTTCTCAACAAAACGCGCACCGTCTTTTCCCCGATGCGGGCCGCATGTTCATAGAGCTGAAAGATGCGGGCCACTTTACCGCGGTAAATTAATAGACACAGCTGCTTACAGCGATGATCGCTGATGGAGACGGAGACACGCGGTGTGCACGAAGGGGAGGGGCTGTGTGTGTGTAGGTCTCTGTATGTGGGAGAGACGCGTAGCTTGAGTGAGAGTTACGAAGGGCCGCCACATTTTAAACCCCCCTCCCCGCTGTCAAATTGACCGCTGCGGCGGCACTAGACGATGCATGTTTTAAATAGCGTAACAAAAAAAAAATATATATAATAATACGAAACGCAATTTGTGGCGGGCGGTCTCTAATCTGTGGCGGTGCGCCACAGATTAGTCTATGTGTGGGAAACACTGCAGTATCTGTATCGGGGGCCGATATGGGTATTTTGTAAGGATCGGATAATATCGGATTTGTTAAATAACAGGGAGTTTACATTTACAGCGTTCACACACTGGTTAAGTACTGGCATTTTGTGGTCATTCAGTTATGTACCAGCTCTTTTTTTTTTGTTATAAGCCTAATGTATACTCGCGCGGCGCAGAGCTTACAGTGGTGTTGTGACGTCACTTGCCGCGCAGCATCGAAATTTTCTAACTACGTAAGGGTCGCCGCAAGGAAGCTCCGCTGTGATTGGTCCATGTGTGTGTATTGGAAGGAAGCACGGAGCGGCTGCAGCAGGAGCATGGACGAGGCACTATGGAGCAGAGAGCTTTGTGCTTCAATGGAAACGAAGGAAAAGGGCGGCACGGTGGCTGAGTGGATAGCACTCTCGCCTCTCAGCAAGAAGGTCCTGGGTTCGAATCCCGGTCGGACCAGGGCCTTTCTGAGTGGAGTTTGCATGTTCTCCCCGTGTCTGCGTAGGTTTCCTCCGGGTACTCCGGTTTCCCCTACCACTAAAAATATGTCCAATAGGCATGTCTGGCATGCGCCTCCTGTACTGGCGACCCCGCTCCCATCTCTGTGTGGAGTGAGAGACAAATGCCCATAATTAACAATTGTAAACCGCTTTAGGCGGTATATAAATAAATAAAGATTAAAGATTAAAGATTAAAAGCAGTTTGGGCTCATGGCAGAGCCTGGTATACGCGGAGACTGTGGAGTAGAGTTCTGTTGCATATCTAACATATAAACTGTGCAGTTGTTTGTTTTGCACTGTTCCTGTCTTTGTCTGAATCGTAGCTTATCGCGTCTGTTCCATTCCTCCTGCACTTATAAATTGTTCATGTTTGCCTCAGATATTTACCACTTTTATTGTTTTGCTGTTAATGTTGAATACAATTTAATAATAACTATGTTTCCAACAAGAACTGTGTCTTTATTCACAACATCACAGTTAAATGAGTTAAGAAATAATGAGTCCATAGAACTATCACATAAACCTACAGTAGAAACACATGTAATGATCTCAAACAGCTCGGTTTGTTCATGTTTTTGTTCTGAAGAGGAGAAAGAAGCAGCGTAAACGAGACCGCTTTGGTATCTCAAGCATCTCCTGTGAGATCGCCATCATGTGGTTGGTTGTGGGATTACAACATTCTCCTCAAAACTCTGCAAGGAGTATAAATTGAATTGTGCTTGCGTAGGTCCACCGCAACCGCTAACGTAAGCAGCGCCGCGCAAGTATACACTAGGCTATACTGAATGTTGAGGGCCGCTTTTTGATAAATGTTCCTCTTTAACATTTCTTTTATATCACGTTTATTTTAAAGGTGAAATATTCAATACTGATGTGATTCTTACCTATTACCTAACTCGGTAGTCTGTTAAGCAAAAGCCAAACAATATTTTTGATCATGTTATAATAATAATAATAATAAAAAAACAAAAACATTTTAAAGTAATACTGGTTGCAAAATTTTAAATGCTTTGAAAATATTAGAAAAAATTGGATCGTATCGGATCGGTATTGGCAAAACAATATTTAATAATATCGCAATCGGATCACAAAAAATCTGGATCGGTACATCCCTATACAGAAGATAATTACATAACGTATAAAATCCACACATATTAAAAATGTCTTTGCGATTTGGCTCCGTTTGCTCACTGTTTGCTCCAAGGTACAGCCCCAGCGTTAAGTCAAGGCAAGTTTATTTTTTATAAATCATGGTATCCTCATTCAGAGACTTGAGGACTGGGTTGGTGTTTCTGGAACAGCCCTAAGCTGGTTTATATCCTACCTACAGGACAGAAAGTATTTTGTGGAGATCGGAAACTGTGTCTCAGACCATCTGGCCCTGACCTGCGGAGTGCCACAGGGCTCAATCCTGGGGCCTCTCCTGTTTAATATTTACATGCTGCCTCTGGGTAGGTTAATACACAGTAATAACGTGTCCTATCACAATTACGCTGACGATACTCAGGTCTATGTGTCCCTGACAGCAGGAGAACATGGACCAGTGGACTCGCTCCTTCACTGTATCCAACAGATCAGTGATTGGATGCAAAATAACTTTCTCCAGCTAAACACAGAAAAAACTGAAATTATTGTTTTCGGACCTCAGAAACAAAGAGAGAGCGTTATCTGCCACCTCCAGTCTCTCTCCCTGAAACCCTCAACTCAGGTCAGAAATCTAGGAGTAATAATGGACTCAGACTTGAATTTCAATAGCCACATATCATCTGTGACATCATCAGCTTACTTCCACCTAAGAAACATTGCTAAAATTAAAAACATTGTGTCTAAAGCAGACTTGGAGATTCTTATCCACGCATTTGTCTCCAGTCGATTGGACTACTGCAATGGCTTGTTCACAGGTCTCTCTAAACAAGCGGTAAAACAGCTGCAGTACATCCAAAATGCTGCAGCTCGAGTCCTGACTAGAACCAGGAAGTACGACCACATTAGTCCGGTCCTCAGGTCTCTGCACTGGCTTCCTGTGGCTCAGAGAATAGATTTTAAAGTAGCTTTACTTGTGTACAAGTCTCTCCATGGCCTCGCACCAGGGTACATCCGCGACATGTTGGTGCCATATGAACCAACTCGGGCTCTGAGGAGCACAGGGACTGGACTTCTGTTAGTGCCAAGAGTCGGAACTAGACATGGGGAGGCTGCGTTTCAGATTCATGCAGCTAGAGTCTGGAACCGTCTTCCCGAGAGTGTGAGACAGGCGTCTACTCTAGCAGTTTTTAAAACTGAACTGAAAACAGTTCTTTTTAGCTGTGCATACAAGTGAATGATTTTACATTTGTTTTTATCTTTAATCTTTTTAATGCGCTATGATTATTTATGATTATTTATGATTGTAATCCCTTGTGTGATTTTAATTTTTTACGGTTTTTAACTACTTGTGTGATTTTATATATCTTGTGCTCTTAATCTGTCTTTTTATGTTTACTTAAATTCTAATGTTTGATGATTTATGCATGATGTTATATGGGTTGTGAGGCGCTTTGCGTTGCCTTGTGTAGGAAAGGCGCTCTATAAATAAACGTTGATTGATTGATTGATTGATAGCACAGTTCATACAAAAGGTAACTCGAAGTGGTTAACACAATAAGATGAGAAACCATATCATACAAGGCAATAAAAAAATGCCACTGAGCTAGATTCAAGGCCTTTCAAAAAAGCTGTGTTTGACCTAAAGCCTTTTCATTTGGAGGCTTTACATTT